AAGGAGCAGGTGACCCCCGAGGAGCAGGGAGAGAAGGGGGGGCTGAGATCCCCTCGGATTTACCGCTGCCCCCTCCCGTGGGGACCCCCCCCATCCTCTCCACTCCTGCCCCCTTTCTCCCTAGAGAGCAACGAGCAACATCCAGGGTGACCTCCCTTTTCCCTGAAATCCCTGAGAAGGTCTCTGTTCTCCTACACTGATTGTGCCCCATTTTCTCTCCTTTTCCCCAATGGCCAGTTCAAATCTCAGGTTTGGGGTGTTTCCCCAAATTTTTACCTGCAGTGATTTGTCCTTGTTTAGGTGGGAAATCGTTCCCCTGAGTGATTTCTGAACTGGAAAGAGGGATAATGGGCAGAGGCTGGGAGAGCCCTGAGACAGGGTTATGGCTGGGCTGGGAGTGGCCACTCTCTGCTGGCAACAGGGCATGGAAAGGCCCAGGAAGGGAAGGGAGGAGCAAGCGTCCCCCATGGAGGGCTTCCCAGGCCCAGCTACTTCCCCTCCCCCACCCTGCCCAACCCAGCAGCCCCCTCCCCCCACCACTTGCTAGTCACATTCCCAGACCCCACAGCCAGTGACCACCTCACTCCAGCCCCACTCCTTTCCCCTGTGAAAGTGACATCACCCAGGGCTCCCTGCCTGACATGCGAATGTGAGGCAAGAAGAATCCATCCCATTCTGTTGTTGATTGAATATCGCTATATAATCCCCTCTTTTCATAGAATCATAGAAGGGACCTCAGGAGGTCATCTAGTCCAACCCCCTGCTCAAAGCAGGATCAATCCCAACTAAATCATCCCAGCCAGGGCTTTGTCAAGTCTGACCTTAAAAACCTCTAAGGAAGGAGATTCCACCACCTCCCTAGGTAACCCATTCCAATGCTTCACCCCTCCTAGTGAAAAAGTTTTTCCTAATATCCAACCTAAATCCCCCCCACTGCAACTTGAGAGCATTATTCCTTGTTCTGTCATCTGGTACCACTGAGAACAGTCTAGATCCATCCTCTTTGAAAGCCCCTTTCAGGTAGTTGAAAGCAGCTATCAAATCCCCCCCCCCCCCCGCCCGCCCTTATTCTTCTCTTCTGCAGACTAAACAATCCCAGTTCCCTCTGCCTCTCCTCATAAGTCATGTGCTCCAGCCCCCTAATCATTTTTTGTTGCCCTCCGCTGGACTCTTTTGC